CTTCTCTAATGAAACCGTGACGAAACGTTTCATTAGAGAAGAACCCGTCCAGAAGACCTATACAATTTTTTTCTTTTTGATTTTTTACCTGGATTACTGAGATGCATCAGGACACTTCAATAAGTCGTTTTCACCTAATTTTAGGAAACTGGACCACACTAGACCTGGTCCAGCTCAAAAACTACAACACCTAGACTCTTTAAACCTGGACCAGATTATTCCACACGGATAGAAGAATATTTAAAACTAAGTTTGAATTTTGTGAAACCTCAACAAGTCAGTTTTTTATCACCACACTAGAACTTTAGCTTCGTCTTTGAGCACTACATATAAGATGAACGAGACGAGATAAACAGCACCAACATGAGGAAGAAAACCTGTTTTCTGGTGTAATGATATTAAGATTGTAAATGTTCTGGTCTTCTAAGAAAGAACACGGTGGATCAACTTTAGACACGGTTACCTCACAATCAAATGAGTTACAACCTTTTTACCAAATATAACCCACAAAAACCTTTACCCAACAACATAAATTACTTTAAAAAATACACTTAACACAAACTTGCCCGCACAAACAACTCCACACAAACTTAACAGCCATCACCACCTGAGTTTTCTACGTGACGCAGTGCTGCTAGCTGCTCGCTAGCTTTCACATGAACGTCTGACCGCAGTAAAGAGCTGTAAACTTACATTGCCCATCCATAATGTACTCATGATGCCGTGAATGTGGATATTCCTCCACACACCGTTAGCTGTAAAGACTGAAGCTCAAAACAAACGCCAAATGTCCCACAAGCAACAAAGAAGAAGGCACGGAAGAGAATTAGCGTTACTTCTYCTTCTTCTCTTGTTTTTAACGCCGGCAGAACTCAGCGCATGCGCACTGCTGCCCCCATCAGGCAAGATGGTATCATAACCCTGTTTTAAAAAATCACATTATTACAATGAAGATAATAAATAAATGAAAATAAGTGTTATTACTTTCTTCCACGTATTTATAGTTGCTGTGCTATGTATCTATGTATATGCATTATTATTAATAACTAAACTCAACTAACTAAATGCATTAATTGTGAAACCCACAGAAGCAGAGGACATGCAGCTACAAACACATCACATTTTAGCTCAATATTTCTTTTATTTTATTGATGGCCTCCCTTCTCCCCTTATACCCATCCTCTCCACACCATTAATATGAAATGTTTTTTAATAGAAGAAAAAGAAGGAGAAAGAAAAAAGTGAAATGTAATGAGAAAGAGTGAAAAAGAGAATAGAAGAAATGTAAAATATATGTTGAGAAAACACAAGACAGCACACCGKACTTCTCGGCTCCACACCTACAAAACAAAGATAGCAAAACCACAGCAACAAAAATGCATAA